GGCGGTGCCCGCTTGCGGTCCACCCACACAGTACAGCGTTTCGTGGCCCCATCGGGAGTTCCACCGAAAGCATCCGTGGCGGTGTCCGCATGCGTTTCCCCCACCCAGTACACCGTTTCGGGGCCCCATCGGGAGCTCCACCTAAGGCCTCAGTGGTGGTGTCCGCATACGGCTTCCCCACCCGGTGCAGCGTTTCGTGGCCCCACCGGGAGCTCCACCGACGGCCTCGGTGGCGGTGTCCGCATGTTACCCCCCGCCCAGTACAGCGTTTCGTGGCCCCATCGGGAGCTCCACCGACGGCTTCTGTGGTGGTGTCCGCACGCACCCTCCCCTTAGTACAGCGTTTCGTGGCCCCATAGAGAGCTCCACCGAAGGCCTCAGTGGTGGCGTCCGCATGCGGTTCCCCCGCCAAGTATAGTGTTTCGCGGCCCCATGCGGAGCTCTTCCGCATGCCTCAGTGGCGGTGTCCGCATGCGAATCCCCAACCCAGCAAAGCGTTCTGTGGCCCCAGAGGGAGTCCCACCGAAGGCCTCACTGGCGGCGTCTGCATGCCCCCCCCCCCAGAGCGCTCAGCATCGTGAGCAACCAATGGGAAATCATAGATATTGGCCTCTTTGGGCCGCTTTTTGTGGTTTCTTCGGATCATTTTGTGGCGTGTTGGGGGCCTCTTGGGCCGTCTTGGATCCCTCGTGGGCTTTCTTTAGGTTGGAACTTCTTGGTCGCTTCTCGAGGAACTCTCGCAGGTTCGTCGGGTCGTTCTGGGCGGGTCCACAGTCCCGAAGCCCGACGCCACATGTCCCAGGAGCACCCACAAGCACCCAGGAACGTCTAGTATTTCTGAGCTTTAGGGCCGTCTTGACGATCTGTGGGGCTGTCTTGGGGCCAACTTGGGGGCTTTTTTGCCGTCTTGCGGGGCTCCTGGGGCCCTCTTGGGCCATTGCGGGAACGTCTTGGAGGACTTTGGGCCGTCTTGGGGTGATCTTGGAGGCCCCTTTGGGCCGTCTTAGAGCGTCGGGAAGCGGAAGAGGCGAGAACGCCAAAGTCTTTCAAAAACCAAAGGGGCATTTTTATGGATTTTGTGTCTGGGGGCCTTCTTGGGAGTGCTCCTGGAGGCCTCCTGGGGCGTTTTGAAGGCCTCATGGGCCTTCAGGAGGCCTTGAAGGCGTCTCGAAAAGATCGTTCGGCGATTCTGGGCCCTCTTGGACCGTCTTGTGGGCCTCTTCGGGCAGTTTTGGCCCGTCCTGGTTTTTTTTGGGGGGGCCCAGGACCCTTGGGAGGGAGTCGTATCTGGGTGGCGACCCCTTCTTGTGCCCCTCCTGGAACCCTCCCCTGCTCGACCGGGGAGGGATCACAGGGAGGCGTCTTGGGCAGATCTTTCGACGATTCTGCGCCCTTTTGGCCCGTTTTGGGGGTCCTCTTCGGGCGCTCTTGGCCCGCCAGGGACCCGCTGGGCGGGAGTCGTATCTGGGTGGCACCCCCTTGGGATCCCCCTCTGACACCCTCCCCCCCCATTCCCTTGCGCCCTCCCTTGCTTGCTGATTTGTGCAGGAAGCTTTCCCCCGACGGGGGTCGCGCCAGACTCGTGGAATCCTACTTGGATCTCACTGGAGGTAGAGTAGAGAGGGGGTCGCCTGGTGCCTGGGCGACGCTTCCAGGTGCCAGATGCGTCCCCAGGCACCAGCCGATATGATTTTTCAATCCGTGGCCCCAGAGGTCTGGACCCCTTCCCCAGGGATGGTTGTGCATCGCGCAGCAATTTTCGATGGTCCTTGGGCCCGAGGACAGGACCCGGAGGCCGAGATCCAGGAAAAAAAACAGCCAGATTGAACACAGATCAAGTCCTGTGATCTCCGGGTCACATATTCACCGGATGAGGAGGGGGGGGTCCTTTGGTCGTTTCTTCGGGTTGATTCGGAGGGACCCGGGCACGCCCCTGCCTGGCCTCTCCGCGCTTGCCCTGGATCCCCAGATGCCCCCGAAGACGACCCAAGATGCGTCAGGAAGGTCCCCCCCCCAAAAGATGCGTCAGGAAGGCCCCGAGCTCAATTTTTTTTAGGCTCAGGCAGGAAGCCGCTGTGACTGAGGTAACCTGAACAAATCAAGACTGCATTTGCCCAACCAAGCGTGGCAGGCTCTCCGTCAGTGCCTCCCCGTCACCAGTGTGCCGCCATGCAGCTGCGCGGGCGTCCCACCTTGGCTGCAGTTGCGAATCTCCTTCTCGGAGCCACGATCCTGGACACATCCGCAAGGGCCGAGGACATTTGGCTCACTTCCATCCAGCCTTTCACTGGGGCCGACTGGGACGCCGGCATATCCATGCGCATCGGCGGCCAGATCATGTTGGAGGAAATTAACAATAATCCTAACGTTCTGCCAGGCTATACGCTGAGGGTTGCGTGGCAGGATGGCCTGTGTGCCAGGGGTAGGGCTGTGGAGATATTCCTCAGGAACTTGTACGATCGAGAGTACCCTTACATTTTTGCGCCTGGCGTAGCCCTCGAGGACCTAAACACGGACAACGAATCAGCCATCACAACCGAAGATGTAGAGCAGTTCTATGAAGTGTGGAACGCCACGGTGGTGTCCTCGAAGTCTGTCGGTCTGTTGGGATCTGGCTGCTCTGGCGGGGCCATGGACATCGCAAAAACTGCGTTCTATGCACGGGTGCCCATGGTGTCCAATAGCGCCACACGCGGATCTTTGAGCGACAGAAGTGCGTATCCCAACTTCTTCAGGACCATCATGCCGGACTCGGTCTTCGGTGCAGCTTGGGTGGCCACAGCAAGGAATTTGGGCCACGTCAGAATATCAGCCTCTTGCGGAGAAACGGCGCAATGGGGATCGGACGTGATAAAGGTGGGCGTGGCTGCAGACGACCAAGGTGTGACTCTCGAAGGTCAGCCCTTCGATGATCTTGGCACGTGGCGCGGCTACCAGATCAGCTCGGATTCGGTCACTGCTGCGGAAGAAGCGGCGGGTCTCCTGAAGCAAGGTGCCAGTGATGGATACGTATCCCGTTTTGTCATTCTCCAGATGTACCAGCCAAGGGCCAGGTTGCTCATGTGCGCGGCCCACCAGATCGGTTACAAGAATGTGATTTGGATGGTTACGGGCTGGTTCACAGCGGGGTGGTGGTATGAGTCGACCGTCAGCGGCTGCACGGCGGAGGAGGTCAGAAGCATGGCCCAGTTCTACATTTCCGCGAACATGCAGTTCTATCCAGCTGCCTGCGGCAAGCCCCGCCACCCTGCCAGCCCAGCATTCTGGGTGGCGACTGTTCGAGGGGGCAAGGGAGGCCGTCACGTGTGACACATCGTGCCTCCAGGGTTGAGAGAGCGATGATGTTGATGACGCTGTTGATGACGATGCTGATGGTGGAGATGCTGCTGCTCTTGATGATGGTGATGATGATACTGCTGCCGCTGATTGGTGATGATGGTGATGGCGATGGCGACGATGATGATGATGAGGATGAGGATGAGGATGAGGATGATGATGATGATGATGATGATGATAATAATGCTGATGATGACCATGATGATGCTGCTTATGCTGCTGACGATGACGATTTTTATGATGTTGCTGCTGATGATGACATGCTGATTATGCTGCTGACGATGATTTGCTGATGATGCTGCTGCTGATAATGATGATGACGATATTGCTGATGATGGGCATGTTGACGATGATGACGTCGATGATAATGCCGACGCGACGACGACGATGATGATGGGGGTGGTGATGAGGTTGATTGCGATGATGCTGCTGATGCTGTTATTGATGATGATGCTCGTGATGATGACGATGCCGATTATGATCATCATGCTGATGATGATGCAGATGATGATGAGGAGGAGGATCATGCCAATCATGGTGATGATGATGATGATGATGATGATGATGATGATGATGATGATGATGATGCTGATGATGATGATGATGATGATGATGATGATGGTGATGGTGATGGTGTTGGTGATGGTGGTAGTGGTGATGACGATGACGATGACGATGACGATGACGGTGACGATGACGATAGTGATGAGGATGACGACGACGATAATGATGATGATGGTGATGATGCTGCTGTTGGTGTCGTTGTTGCTGTTGGTGTGGATGTTGCTGTTGATGAGTATGCTGGTGATGCTGATGATGAGGATGATGCTGCTGATGATGATGTTGATGCTGATGCTGATGATGCTGATGATGCTGCTGTTGATTCATATGGTGATGCTGGGAATGATGATGAGGATGAGGATAAGGATGAGGATGAGGTTGAGACAATGGATGACGATGATGGTGGTGGTGATGATGCTGCTGATGACGAGGAGGATGAGGAGGAGGAGGAGGAGGAACAGGAAGGCCGTCACATGTGACACCTTTCGTCTGAGTGCGTACTCGTTTGGTCCGTCTTCGGGCTGCCTTGGCCTTGTCTGAGCCAGTCGTGGGGGGTCCCTTGGGGCCCTTTTGGGCCGTCCTAGGGCACTCTCAGGCCGTCTTGGGGCTCTCTTGGGCCATCTTGGGCACCCCCTGGGGGCCTGCTGGCCCTCGGGACAGTCCGCTTGGAGCCGTCTTCGGCTATCTTCAAGGCTTCTGGGGCCTTCTTGAAGCCATCTTGGCCTTCTCGACGCCAAAGTAGGCTGTCTTAGAGACGAGAAGGAGGAGGAGGAGGAGGAGGAGGAGGAGGAGGAACTCCGAGGCTGTAGGCCTCCCAGATGGGGTCGGAGTAGACGAGTTCGGCGGATCGCGCCGCAGCGCCGATGCGTCGCCGAGGCATCGCCGAGGCGGCTCGATGTGGAGCCCAGCTTTCTCCGCGCCGGCGTCGTTGATGGGCCGCCGACGTCGCCGATGCATCGCCGATGCATCGGCGATGCGGCGTGATCCTCCGACTCCATCTACTCCGTCCCCATCTTGGAGGCAATAGAAAACCTCGGGAGGGCGCATCTGGCGCATTTGACGAGGGATTGGCCCTGGGAGCGCGAACTTCCTTTTCTTTTGCGACGTATGGTGGCCTCGAGAGTTTTAACTATTGTGCATTTTGAGAGGGGTTGTGGCCTCGAGGGAGGGGGCGGTGCATGTGGCGCGTGGCGAGAGAGGGGGGGGCCCTAGAAGATGGCAGAAGCCCAACCCGACAGCCCTGCAGCACCTGGCATTCTAGCGCGCCCCAACGTGCCAGGGGGCGGCACGGTGGCGGATCGGAGCGACATGGGCGCCCGACTCGACTGTTCCACCAGCATGACGGCGCAGGGCTTCCAGGACGAGTGGCTGTCGCGGCAGGGCGCCACTATGGAGGACCTCGGCATGCGGCCCGAGGGGTACACTCCAGCCCTGGAGGCAGCCACGACAGCAGACGCTGTCTGCATGTATGCACAGATGCTGCACCAGCTGGTGGAGGTCGAAGGCGTCCAGCTTGACGACCTGAGAGAACGCACCCCCTCTGCCTACCTCGCCGTGATGGACGCTTTTGCGGCGAGCAACTTCTCCGGCGTCATCGGCCAGGTCAAGTTTGCGCCGAATTCGCCTGACCCCGAGGGATCCGTCAAGTTGGAGCAGTTGCAGAACGCGGGCACGTACAGGCAGGTGGAGTTCGCCTCGTTCCTGGATGGGGTCCTCTCCTTTAGTGGCGTTGGTCTCAAGTTTGGTTTACCCAACGAATCGGACATTGTGGCCTTACCAGCAACTGTGACCCACTTCGCAACCTGCACGGGAGAGTTGTCTTTGGATTTCGAGGCCAACGTGTGCGTGCCGTGCAGTTCGGAGCAGGTGTGGCTGCAGGAGGGCGGTTTCTGCGCGTGTGCATCGGGGTATTTCAAAAATGCGGCAGGGGCTTGTGAGCTGTGCTCGCCAGGGACCTTCACCAGCACCCCAGGCTCGAGAGAGTGTACCAACTGCTCAGAGGGCCACTTCGCCGCGGCCAGCGGGCAGACTGCGTGCCAGGAGTGCACCCTCGGCCTGTACTCGAGCACGCCGGGCCTGTCGGCATGCACGGCCTGCGTGGATGAGGACAGGCCTGACAGCGACCGCTGGTCCACGTGGAAGTCAGACGGGTCTGGCGGGTGGCTGCAGAGCACGGGTGCGACGTCGAGAGAGGGATGGTGTGGTTGCGACGACGGTTCGTACCTCGACGGGGACGTCTGCAGGGCGTGCACGACGGGCATGTCGTGTCCATACATGGGGATCATTTTGTTGGAACCTGGGTATTTCTCGACTACGGACAGACCTGCGTGGATATTCGAATGCATGCGCGACTACGACTTCATTCGTTGCCCAGGGGGTCCACCAGGTACCTGTGGGGAAGATCGAGACAACACGACCACTGTTTGCACAGGATGTGTGGGCGATTTGGTGTCACTGGGGACTGGCGAGTGCATCGACTGCTCAGGCGGCGGCGGGGTCGTCATCATCATCATGGGCCTCCTCGTCTTGGTCGCGGCGCTTGCCTGTGCCTACCACGTCCTCGCCAATGCGGACCGCGCTACAGAGAAGAGTGCAACGGCCATGATGATGATCCCCGTCAGCTTGCTCATCCCGAAGATGAAAAACTCGCATGAACATAATACACTTTCGGAGCACCGCGCGGACTCCTTGGCTCGTCGTGGGGCCTTCCCTGCGGCGCCTCCGGCGCCGCCCCTGGCGCGCCTCGCACGCCCGGGCTTGAGGCCCGGCGGCTGTGCAAGAAGTCTGCGCCGAGCCCCCAAAGTCTACGTTTGTGCAGGGTCTTTCTTCCTCTGTCCTCACGAGCGTGCAGATCGTCAGCGTGCTTGACGCCATGAAGGTCCCGTGGCCCTCGCCGTTCCGCGAGTGGCTGGCCGTAACGGAGGTGTTCGTGTTCAACACGGGCTCCATGGGCCTGGAGTGCGTCCTGCCCACGAGCCCCATCTGGGCCTACTGCGAGAAGCTTGTCCTGCTGCTCTTCATGCTCTCGCGAAGGGCAGCAGACGACGCGAGCATAGATTCTCGGAGGTCTTCGCGGACTTCTGGGCTCGGCGCTGCACCCCCCCGCCCCTGGCGCGCGCGGCCAGGGGCGGCGCGAGGTGCGCTGCCGGGGGGCGTCCACCGCCGGCCCCAGGAGCCCGCCGCGGGCTTCCGTCCGAGAGCTCCTCTTGTGCTCGTGCCGTCCTCTGCTCTTCTGCTCGTTGGCGATGTGCGCCGTCCACGTCGCCCACGTCTGCGTGCTCCACGAGAAGAGGTTCGGCGAGCGCAAGGCGGCGCTCTACTGCTCCGTGGGGGCGGTGGTGTTCTCCGTCTTCATCGCCATCTCCAGGATCATCTTCGTGCCGTTCGAGTGCGAGACCCACCCCAACGGAGAGTCGACGCTCGAGCTGTCCCAGGACTCGAGGAAGAGCTGCACTTGCACAGAGACCCTGACACATGGTCGGCACGATACGGCGCGGCAATCGTTTCGCACTCTGAAAACCAAGCCCGGCACGGCACGGCACGGCACGACACAGAACGCATTTTTATTGCATTCTGCAGACCAGGCGCGCACGGCAGGCATGATTTTTTTTCCGCATTTTGACAACCAGCGCCATTTCTTCGCAGTCTGAGAGCCAGTCACGGCATGGCACGGCGCGGTAACGTTTCCGCATTCTGAAGACCAGGCGCGGCACGGCACGCGGGCACGGCAAGGCACGGCAGCCTTCTCGAACTGCCCAAACCGAGCGCGGCACTACACGCTGTGCGGGCACGCGATCGGCACGGCCACTTTCCCGCGTTCTCGACGCCAAGCACGGCGCGCCACGCGGGCACGGCACGGCACGGCGGCGTTGTTGAAGCCGAGCGCGGCGCACGCGGGCGCGGCACGGCACGGCGCCGCAATTGGGTCGCATGCCTGAAAGCATGCGCGGCACGGCAGGGCGCGCGGGCGCGGCACGTCAGGGCACGGCGCGGCGTTTGACGTGCACTCGAGACCAAGCACGGTGCGGCACGCCGGCACCGCCTGGTCCAGCACCGCACCCGGCGCGGCACGGCACTGCACGCGGGCGCCGCACGGCACGGCACGGCAACCCGATCGCGCTCGCGAAGACAAGCACGGCATGGCACGCGGGCGCGGCATGGCATGGCACGGTGCGGCGTTGCACGGCAACCGGCTCACGGCCCCGAAACCGAACGCGGCACTCGGGCGCCGCGGCGCTGCGCGGGAACCTGCTCGCGCGCTCGGGCCCGAGCACGCCGCGGCGCGCGGCGCGCGGGCGCGGCGCGGCAACTCCCCCGCGCTCCTGAGGCTGAGCCCAGCACGGCGCAGCACGCGAGCACGGCGCTGCACCCGCCTTCCCCCCCCGCGTTCGCCGCCGAGCACGGCGCGGCGCGTGGAGCGCGGCACGGCGCGCGCTCCCTGGCCGGGCACGGCGCGGCCTGCCGTTCGGCACCCTCGAGACCAAGCGCGGCGCGGCGCGGGGGCGCGGCGCGGCGCAGCGCGGGGCCGCAGCTCGCCACCCCCCAAGCCAGGCGCGGCAGCCGCCCGAGACACATCCGCCGACGTGATCTTCCTGTCCGCGGCCCCAGCTTGGCATCGCTCGGGCGTGTGCATTTCTCCCTTCAGGCGAAGACCATCGAGGAGCATCCTGGATCATTTGGCGAAAGAACCGCGCGCCAAACAGAAAAAAAACACATGGAATCGGAATGGACGTCCGAGCGATGGCCAGCCAGAGGTCCCGACTCCTTCCTCGGTGGTGGATCTTCGCCCCGGCTCCGTTCGTGACGGCCCCCGGGCCCGGCAACGGGCCCCGGAGGCCGCCATCCAGGGAAGACCGCCAGGTTGAAAAAAGGTCTTAGATACATATAGCACCCCGCAATTGCGGATAAGAGTGAGGGGGCGGGCGCGGGGTGGGTCGCGGGTGGGTCGCGGGTGGGTCGTAGGGTGGGTCGCGGGGTGGTCGCGGGTGGGTCGCGGGGTGGGTCGTGGGTGGGTCGCGGGTGGGTCGCGCGGGTGGGTCGCGGGTGGGTCGGGGGCGGAGAGGGGGGGGGCGGGGGTGAGGGGCGACGCAACAAAGCAACAAAACAACAACAGCAAAACAACGACAAAACAACGACAATAACCCTCGCCGCGGATCCCCACTTCAGCCACGCACCCAGGGACAGTGAATGACCGTTGGGGCCCCCTCACTCGGATCCTCGGATCTCTGGGCGAGCACGGCGCGGCCTTCGCGGCTCCTTCTCGGAGCCGCAGCAGGCGCGGCGCCGCGCGGCGCGCGGGCGCCGCACGGCGCGGCGCGCCCTGAGGGCGACGACGACGACGACGACAGCGACGACGACGACGACGACGACGTCGACGTCGACGACGACGACGACGTCGCCGACGACGCCGACGACGACGCCGACGACTACGCCGCCGACGACGACGACGACGGCGACGGCGACCGAGCTCGGCACGGCGCGCGGCGAAGCCGCACAGCCCGGCCCGGCACCTCGTGCCACGTCCTCGAGGCCGCGCGCGAGGGGCGGCGCGGCAGGGCGCGGCCCGCGGCGCGCCGACCACCTCGCGCCCTCGAGGCCGCGAGCGGCCTCGGCCTCGGCACGGCGCGCGGGCGTCGAGCCCGAGCGTCCGACACCGACCCTGGCACGAGATCGGAGACCCTTTGCAGCGAGCGCTGTCTAGAGACAGTGGGCGAAGACCGGTATGACATACACTGTGCCGCCGTCGCGGGCGCCTGCCCCACGGGAGGCTGAAAGGTTGTGCCCCGCGGTGCCACGTAGAGGGTATCGTCTTTCAGCCGCCCGGGGGGCAGGCGTCCACGACGACGGACAAGTCTACCCGGGACACATTCGCGCACGCGCGCAGCCACGACGCCTAGATACGGAGCAGCTCGGGTTCGGAGGGCCTGTCATGATTGTTGCTTCAGCGCTCCTGGCGCTTGTGTTTAGCAGGGGTCATTCCGACACTGCCGGCTCGATTCGATTCGATTTCCCCCTGGCGGGCCGATTCGATGCGGAGATGCCGATTCGCGATTCCGATTTCGAGTTCGCCCGATCCGACTTCTGCTGATTCGATGTGTCATCCGATTTCTGCCGATTCCTGCCGATCCGGCTTTGCTCCAGGAGGCAGGGTGGCCCCAGTTCGGTTCGGTTCGGCCCGGTTCGGCCATCGGGTCAGTTCCTTTGGTCCAGTTCGGCCAGTCGGGTTCGGCCGGTCCTCTTCGTCCGCGCGGTTTGGCGGGATCGGCCCTGTTCGCCCGGTTCGGTTCGGCCGCGGGCCGCGGGTTCGGCCAGGTCGGTTCGGCCCGAAGTTTCTTGCACAAGAATCCCGAGGTGCCCTGAAGATGGCGACGACTGCGGAGACGTCGACGGCGCCCCGAAGGGGACCCCGACGGGGCCGCCGGAGGGCTCCCCCAGGGGGCTCCCCCGAGGAGCCCCCCGGCCCCCCCCCCCCCGAGGGCAGGGCCTGCAGGGGGCCCCCCCGAGGCCCCAAGCAGCTCCGCCGGCCCCCGAGGCCCCCCCGAGGCCCAGAAGGCTCCCCCCGGGCTCCTCGCGGGCCCGCCCGGAGCAGGGGGGGCCTCGATCGGGCGGCGGGACGAGCCAGACCGAGGTTGTCACGATCGACGCGCGCAAGCCCCGAGATCCCGGCGCTGCAAACGTTCCGCACCGGGCGTTTTCCGTTTCTTTCTGGCCCCACGGGTTTGCAGATCGATCCGGCTCGAAAGATGGCGCAGAAAGATGGGGTCCAGGGCTTTGGGCGTGATTTTTGTTGAATGTTGCACGCGTTTTGCAATGTCGGATCTCAGGGGACGACGCGCGACGAAACCGTATGCGACGACATGCGGCGACGCATGCGACACCGTGCGCACGACGACATGCGACGACGTCAGCGACGGCGTGCGACGGCGGAGGTCGGGGCGAGAAGTGCAGGAGGGAGGGCCGATCGCCTCCTCCGCTTTCTGTTCTGCCCTCCCGATTTCGATTCCGAGTCGGCTCGACGCGATCCGGTTTCCGATTCGATCCGACTTGGCGCTGCCGAGTTCTGCCGATTCGATGTGTCAGCAGGCTTCTGGGCTTCTGCCGATTCGATGTTCGGGTCGATCTGATTCGACTTGCCTCGATTCGATGCCGGGGCCGCCGGAAAAAAAATCCCGTTCCGTATATATCGTTCCACATGCTAGTACATTTGATACCAAACTGTGGGGGGTCCGCGTGGATTGCTCGTATCGACCCTGGAACCCCCTGGTAGCGCCTCTAGCGCCGACTGGCGCACTCCGTGCGCGAGGGAGGGGGGTCCTTCCCCGATCTGAGAAGTCCGCTCGTACCTCCGAAAATTCACGTTGGTGCATCTGTTCTTTCCATGAGGATGTCTTCTGCTACGACAGCGGCGACCACTGGGTCATGGTCGCCATCGCCAGCGTCGGAGCCGTGGTCCCCACAGGCTTCATCGCGCTTGTGCTGTGGGTGCTGCACCAGCTTCCCAAGCGTGTCCTAGCGGGCGACACGAACTTCATGAAGTGCTACACGTTCCTGTTCTGCCGCTTCCGCCCAGGTGGCTACTGGTATGTCGGGGTGCTCGTAATCCGCAACTTGCTCATCGCCCTGGTGCCAATCGTGGGCGACGCCAGGGTGCAGCTTATCCTCGTCTTTCTCTTTCTGATGCCGTCGATTGTGATCACTCCGCATTTCTTGCCATGGAGAAGCCCTATCGGCAATGTCATGGAGGAGGGTTCCAACTTGGCCATCCTGTGCATCCTTTTCCTGGGGAGCCTTCTGCTGCCCACCACCGACCAGGCGGGTCTTGCGGTCGGCTGCTGCCTGCTCGTCGGCGCGATGGTGCTGTGCCTCGGCGCGGCCGCCAGCTTGGGAGCCATCGCGCACGTCCGCAACCTCAGGGGCAACAAGTCCATATCCTTCTTCCTGTGCCACCACAAGTCCTCGGGTGTTGCCATGGCGCGCGTGCTCAAGTGGAAGTGGAGGGGCTCGACCGGCGTGGACGACACGTTCAAGCGCGTACACCTGCAGGCCGACGTCCAAGGGATCTCGACCAGATCGCTGGGGGACGTGGCGGACTCGGACATGGTGGTCGCGATCTGCACGTCGGATATCCTCGGAAGCCCGTGGTCCATGGGCGAGCTGATGGTGGCAAAGGGCAAACGCATCCCGACCGTCAACTTGCAGTATCCCGACTTCGCCTATCCAGACCAGAAGCGCAACCACGTGGACCGCATTAAGGGGCTGCACGAGCTCACCCACCTCGGCATGAACGCCGACTCCGTGCTGACCGTGCTCGACTGGATGCCGACCAACCCGCAGGTGAGTCTGCCGGACAGCCTTACCACCGCGGGCCTGACCAATCTTGCCGACGACCTCTTGAAGCTCCGACGCCTGGGGGGGTCCAGCGACCCGTCGCTCAAGTGGAAGGGCGAAGGTGATCGACGAAGGGAAATCTGCGTAAACATTGATTTTCGGAGGTCCGCGCGGATTCCTTGGAATTTCTCGGACTTCTGACAGTCTCATCTGAAGCACTTCTTTGTTGATTCTAGGCGACCAGGACGCGCCCGTGGACGCCGCGTGCACCCTGATCGTGGACACCCTCAGCCACGAGGCGTTCTGCGCGGCGCTGCTCCTCAAGGAGATGATCGAACACCTGGTCGTGGGCCAGGGCCTGAGGCTGCGCATCCTCGGGGAGGGGGAGCCGATCCCCAAGGCCTGCAGGCAGGCGATCGTCGTCTGCTCGGTCGGGTGCTTCGGCACGGACCGCCTGACCTCGGCGCTCATCGAGGCCGACGGGTCGGTGGTGCGGCTCGTGCCCGTCATCGTCGAGCCCGGCTTCGAGCTGCCCTCCGCGACGAGCAGGGCGCACACGCGGGCCAACAGGGAGCGTGCCACGCTCGCCCGCGTCATCGACGTGGTGGACAAGGCGGGCCTGGACCTCGACGGCGTTTTGGGGCGGTTTCGTGGGCCGTTTTCGTTTCGAGTTCGTCTTGGGGGAAGGGCGGATGTTGGAGACGGGAGCGAGGGAAAACGACAACGAGTGGTCGAACATCAGGGGAACTGCAACGCGGCACGGGCGCCGAACCAACACATGGTCGAAGGAGGTTGCAGGCCTGGACCCAAACGGTGTTTTTGGCGATTTCGTGGGCCGTTTTCGTTTCGAGTTCGTTCTGCGGTGAAGGCGGATTCGAGACAAGAGCGAAGGAAAACGAAGACACAACGAAAACGAACAACACCGTTTCGGTTCAGCCCTGCGACGAGGTGTTCCTGGAGAACGAGCTGTTCTTTTTCCCTCGCGACAGCGCGCAGGTGCTCAACCTGCGCCTGCAGGAAGTCGCGGACGCGCTGCTCGCCGAGGCGGGCCGCGAGCCTGCGGGCCTCCCGGGAGCCGCGAGCGACGGGGGCCCGAGCGGTGGAGCCGGAGGCGACGGAGCGGCAGAGCTGGGCGAGGAACGCAATGATCAGGAGGGCATCCCTCTCTAGATGCGAGCGCCGATGTCATTCGTATGCGAGGGCATCCCTCTCTCAGGAGTGTTGAGTGGACGGCGTGCGCGTCGTTCGTGTACGATGTACGAGGCTGCGGTGGGCCGCGGTGGGCAGGGGATGCCCGGGGCGCGCGCGCCGAGCCGCGGCGTGCCTCCGCGGCCGCGTGCGGAGGGAGCTCGCTCTCTCGAGCCAGGAGGGGCCCCGCCGGAGTCCCGCGCTCGCCGAACCTCGGCTCGTTATCGACTCTGAGAGACTCGAGCGGTCGAGGTCTGCCTGTTTTTCCTGGCCCGCGCGGGCCCCCTCCTCCCCCGTGCTCCGCTCCCTCTTGCTCCGCTCCCTCTTGCTCCTCTCTGTCTTTTTTTTTTTTTTTTTTTTTTTTCTCTCTCTCTCTCTCTCTCTCTCTCTCCTCCTTCCTACCCGAGCGAGCGCGCGGCGGCTCCCGTGGAGAGTCCGCCGGCTGACGTGCGCTTTTTTCAGCTTAGCATCGCTCGGGCGTGTGCATTTCTCCATCGGCGAGGGCCATCGAGGAGCATCCTTGATCATTTGGCGAAAAAGCCACGCACGAAACCGAAAAAAAAACAGGGAATGGACGTCCGAGCGATGGCCAGTCAGGCCCTGCCTGGCACACCCAGGGTGACGCTAAGGCTGCGCCGCAGTGGTCCTCCCCAGGGAGGGCCAGAAGAGGGTTGCTGTCAACAACAAGTGTTCCCTGCCTGGGCCGCGTCTTGTAGCGCCGCTTTTTTTTTTCAGGCCACACGGTCCCGCCTGCGCCTGGCACGGCGGTGCATGCGAGAGTGATAATTCGCGTGGGATTTTTAGCAGACGGGATTTTGATTACATACGGGCGTAGACTAGAAAGAATGGCATCTCGCAAGCGCGCGCCAGAATACATAATTTCTAAAAACGTGTCCGGGCACCGGTCATAATGCGCCCATACGCGGACGATGTGGCGACATGGGCGCGCATTGTCGCCGATGAGCCATTGCGCGCGCGTCTGAATTGATGTCATATGTTTATAGATAACGCATGCTAGCGCACTGAATAGACGACGGCCACACGACAATTACGCTACCGAGGAACCCCACAAACTTAATTTAAATATTATGTGTTTGCTTATGTATAATATATATATATATGCACAATCCTGCGTTCTGGGCCCTCGTCGCGAATGTTCCCTGCTAGGCTTTGCGCCAGTGTCATGGATAGCGGCCGAGCTGGAGACCACCCCCTGCGCACCCCCGGTGGTGTCGAGAAAGTGCCACGCCTGCTAGCCTTTGCGCCAGTGTCGTGGACAGCGGCCGAGTTGAGAGACCACCCCCTGCGCACCCCCTGTGGTGTCGAGAAAGTGCCACGGCTGCAAAGCTTTGCGCCAGTGTCGTGGATAGCGGCCGAGCTGAGAGACCACCCCCTGCCCACCCTTTTTGGTGTCGAGGAAGTGCCACGCCTGCTAGGCTTTGCGCCAGTGTCGTGGATGGCGGCCGAGCTGAGAGACCACCCCCTGCGCACCCCCTGTGGGGTCGAGAAAGTGCTACGCCTACTAGGCTTTGCGACAGTGTCGTGGATAGCGGCCGAGCTGAGAGACCACCCCCTGCGCACCCCCTGTGGTGCCGATAAAGTGCCACGCCTGCTAGGCTTTGCGCCAGTGTCGTGGATAGCGGCCGAGCTGAGAGACCACCCCCTGCGCACCCCCTGTGGTGTCGAGAAAGTGCCACGCTTGCTAGGCTTTGCGCCAGTGTCGTGGATAGCGGCCGAGCTGAGAGACCACCCCCTGCGCACCCCCTGTGGTGTCGAGAAAGTGCCACGCCTGCAGCTTTGCGCCAGTGTCGTGGATAGCGGCCGAGCTGAGAGACCACCCCCTGCGCACCCCCTGTGGTGTCGAGAAAGTGCCACGCCTGCTAGGCTTTGCGCCAGTGTCGTGGATGGCGGCCGAGCTGAGAGACCACCCCCTGCGCACCCCCTGTGGTGTCGAGAAAGTGCCACGCCTACTAGGCTTTGCGCCAGTGTCGTCCGCGCTGAGAGACCACCCTCTGCCCACCCCCTGTGGTGTCGAGAAAGTGCTGCGCCTGCTAGGCTTTGCGCCAGTGTCGTGTGTAGCGGCCGAGCTGAGAGACCACCCCCTGCGCACCCCCTGTGGTGTCGAGAAAGTGCCACGCCTGCTAGGCTTTGCGCCAGTGTCGTGGATAGCGGCCGAGCTGAGAGACCCCTGCGCACCCCCTGTGGTGTCGAAAAAGCGCCACGGCTGCAAAGCTTTGCGCCAGTGTCGTGGATAGCGGCCGAGCTGAGAGACCACCCCCTGCCACCCTTTTTGGTGTCGAGAAAGTGCCACGCCTGCTAGGCTTTGCGCCAGTGTCGTGGATAGCGGCCGAGCTGAGAGACCACCCCCTGCGCACCCCCTGTGGTGTCGAGAAAGTGCCACGCCTGCTAGGCTTTGCGCCAGTGTCGTGGATAGCGGCCGAGCTGAGAGACCACCCCCTGCGCACCCCCTGTGGTGTCGAGAAAGTGCCACGCCTGCTAGGCTTTGCGCCAGTGTCGTGGATAGCGGCCGAGCTGAGAGACCACCCCCTGCGCACCCCCTGTGGTGTCGAGAAAGTGCCACGCCTGCTAGGCTTTGCGCCAGTGTCGTGGATAGCGGCCGAGCTGAGAGACCACCCCCTGCGCACCCCCTGTGGTGTCGAGAAAGTGCCACGCCTGCTAGGCTTTGCGCCAGTGTCGTGGATAGCGGCCGAGCTGAGAGACCACCCCCTGCGCACCCCCTGTGGTGTCGAGAAAGTGCCACGCCTGCTAGGCTTTGCGCCAGTGTCGTGGATAGCGGCCGAGCTGAGAGACCACCCCCTGCGCACCCCCTGTGGTGTCGAGAAAGTGCCACGCCTGCTAGGCTTTGCGCCAGTGTCGTGGATAGCGGCCGAGCTGAGAGACCACCCCCTGCGCACCCCCTGTGGTGTCGAGAAAGTGCCACGCCTGCTAGGCTTTGCGCCAGTGTCGTGGATAGCGGCCGAGCTGAGAGACCACCCCCTGCGCACCCCCTGTGGTGTCGAGAAAGTGCCACGCCTGCTAGGCTTTGCGCCAGTGTCGTGGATAGCGGCCGAGCTGAGAGACCACCCCCTGCGGTGTCGAGAAAGTGCCACGCCTAGTTTGCGCCAGTGTCGTGGATAGCGGCCGAGCTGAGAGACCACCCCCTGCGCACCCCCTGTGGTGCCGAGAAAGTGCCACGCCTGCTAGTCTTTGCGCCAGTGTCGTGGGTAGCGGCCGAGCTGAGAGACCACCCCCTCCGCACCCCCTGTGGTGTCGAGAAAGTGCCACGCTTGCTAGGCTTTGCGCCAAGCGGCCGAGCTGAGAGACCACCCCCTGCGCACCCCCTGTGGTGTCGAGAAAGTGCCACGCCTGCTAGGCTTTGCGCCAGTGTCGTGGGTAGCGGCCGAGCTGAGAGACCACCCCCTGCGCACCACCTGTGGTGTCGCGAAAGTGCTCCTGTGGTGTCGAGGAAGTGCCACGCCTGCTAGGCTTTGCGACAGTGTCGTGGGTAGCGGCCGAGCTGAGAGACCACCCCCTGCGCAGCGGCTGAGCTGAGAGACCACCCCCTGCGCACCCCCTGTGGTGTCGAGAAAGTGCGACGCCTGCTAGCCTTTGCGCCAGTGTCGTGGATAGCGGCCGAGCTGAGAGACCACCCCCTGCGCACCCCCTGTGGTGTCGAGAAAGTGCCACGCCTGCTAGGCTTTGCGCAAGTGTAGTGGATAGCGACCGAGCTGAGAGACCACCCCCTGCGCACCCCGTGCGAGAAAGTGCCGCGCCTGCTAGGCTTTGCGCCAGTGTCGTGGATAGCGGCCGAGCTGAGAGACCACCCCCTGCGCACCCCCTGTGGTGTCGAGAAAGTGCCACGCCTGCTAGGCTTTGCGCCAGTGTCGTGGATAGCGGCCGAGCTGAGAGACCACCCCCTGCCACCCCCTGTGGTGTCGAGAAAGTGCCACGCCTGCTAGGTTTTGCGCCAGTGTCGTGGATAGGGACCGCGGTGAGAGACCACCCCCTGCGCACCCCCTGTGGTGTCGAGAAAGTGCCACGCCTGCTAGGCTTTGCGCCAGTGTCGTGGATAGCGGCCGAGCTGAGAGACCACCCCCTGCGCACCCCCTGTGGTGTCGAGAAAGTGCCACGCCTGCTAGGCTTTGCGCCAGTGTCGTGGATAGCGGCCGAGCTGAGAGACCACCCCCTGCGCACCCCCTGTGGTGTCGAGAAAGTGCCACGCCTGCTAGGCTTTGCGCCAGTGTCGTGGATAGCGGCCGAGCTGAGAGACGCGCCCCGAGAAAGTGCCACGCCTGCTAGCCTTTGCGCCAGTGTCGTGCCCACGCGAGCTGCCAGACCTGCCCACCCCCTTTGGTGTCGAGAAAGTGCCACGCCTGCTAGGCTTTGCGCCAGTGTCGTGGATAGCGGCCGAGCTGAGAGACCACCCCCTGCGCACCCCCTGTGGTGTCGAGAAAGTGCCACGCCTGCTAGGCTTTGCGCCAGTGTCGTGGATAGCGGCCGAGCTGAGAGACCACCCCCTGCGCACCCCCTGTGGTGTCGAGAGAGTGCCACGCCTGCTAGGCTTTGCGCCAGTGTCGTGGATAGCGGCCGAGCTGAGAGACCACCCGTTGCGCACCCCCTGTGGTGTCGAGAAAGTGCCACGCCTGCCAGCCTTTGCGCCAGTGTCGTGGAAAGGCGGCCGAGCTGAGAGACCACCCCCTGCGCACCCCCTGTGGTGTCGAGAAAGTGCCACGCCTGCTAGGCTTTGCGCCAGTGTCGTGGATAGCGGCCGAGCTGAGAGACCACCCCCTGCGCACCCCCTGTGGTGTCGAGAAAGTGCCACGCCTGCTAGGCTTTGCGCCAGTGTCGTGGATAGCGGCCGAGCTGAGAGACCACCCCCTGCGCACCCCCTGTGGTGTCGAGAAAGTGCCACGCCTGCTAGGCTTTGCGCCAGTGTCGTGGATAGCGGCCGAGCTGAGAGACCACCCCCTGCCCACCCCCTTTGGTGTCGAGAAAGTGCCACGCCTGCTAGGCTTTGCGCCAGTGTCGTGGATAGGGACCGCGGTGAGAGACCACCCCCTGCGCACCCCCTGTGGTGTCGAGAAAGTGCCACGCCTGCTAGGCTTTGCACCGGTGTCGTGGGTAGCGGCCGAGCTGAGAGACCACCCCCTGCCCACCCCCTTTGGTGCCGAGAGAGTGCCACGCCTGCTAGGCTTTGCGCCAGTGTCGTGGATAGCGGCCGCTGAGCTGAGAGACCACCCGTTGCGCACCCCGTGTGGTGTCGAGAAAGTGCCACGCCTGCCAGCCTTTGCGCCAGTGTCGTGGATAGGGACCGCGGTGAGAGACCACCCCCTGCGCACCCCCTGTGGTGTCGAGAAAGTGCCACGCCTGCTAGGCTTTGCGCCAGTGTCGTGGATAGCGGCCGAGCTGAGAGACCACCCCCTGCCCACCCCCTGTGGTGTCGAGAAAGTGCCACGCCTGCTAGGCTTTGCGCCAGTGTCGTGGATAGCGGCCGAGCTGAGAGACCACCCCCTGCGCACCCCCTGTGGTGTCGAGAAAGTGCCACGCCTGCTAGGCTTTGCGCCAGTGTCGTGGATAGCGGCCGAGCTGAGAGACCACCCCCTGCGCACCCCCTGTGGTGTCGAGAAAGTGCCACGCCTGCTAGGCTTTGCGCCAGTGTCGTGGATAGCGGCCGAGCTGAGAGACCACCCCCTGCGCACCCCCTGTGGTGTCGAGAAAGTGCCACGCCTGCTAGGCTTTGCGCCAGTGTCGTGGGTAGCGGCCGAACTGAGAGACCACCCCCTGCGCACCCCCTGTGGTGTCGAGAAAGTGCCACGCCTACTAGGCTTTGCGACAGTGTCGTGGATAGCGGCCGAGCTGAGAGACCACCCCCTGCGCACCCCCTGTGGTGTCGAGAAAGTGCCACGCTTGCTAGGCTTTGCGCCAGTGCCACGAGCTGTGCTGTGCTGTGCTGAGCTGAGCCGTGCTGGGCTGTGCTGAGCTGTGCTGAGCTGTGCTGTGTGCTGAGCTGAGCTGAGCTGTGTGTTGTGCTGAGCTGAGCTGTGCTGTGCTGTGC